ATATTTCTATAAAACAAGTTTTCAGTTTCTACAACGATTGCATTTTGTGTCAGTGTGACAGGATACCAGGTTAGGTTAGGGTAAATTGAATATGGAAAGTCTATACATTTTCACCAACTGAACGAAACGCTCTGGTAAACAACACAATACATGCAAATTTCCCTTTCAAAAGGATATTTGGATGGTAACTGTAGTGCTAGTTTCGTTTTTCAACTAACTTTTTGTTATCTCTTGCATATGAGTGACGTCCTCTGTCTGTTCTCAGAAGTTAAACACAATATAAAACGTACAATACAATAATGAAAACTAATATTGCGGTGTTGAAATAATGTTAAGTACTCTTTGTTCTGTTAGGCTCTTTATTTTAAAAAGTAGTGTACACTTTTAATCTTTTGCGTGATTATCAAGGAGATATACTATACAAATATTAGAAAATACAGTATATATATTAAGATATTGTAACACTTAATAAAATAGAAATTTAATGTTTTCTTTGAAAAAAGGTTGAGTAAATGTGCGAAATCGTTTGAACAAGCCCTTCAGAAGCTCAGCAGCAAGTCAGGAGACTTACGAGGCTAAAAATTGGGTTTAGATACCCGTGGTGTATCCAACAGATAGCCCATTGAGTAGTTTTGCGCTTAACAGCAAATAAACTTTTCAAGAAAAAGAAAGGTTTTAGAAGTGATATGTGAACATATTTCTTGTGATGGCAGACATTAGGTTAAACTTTATGATTGAATATAATGTTTAAATATTTTTAAGTGGTTTCTGTAAATTACCTAGTTGTGTTTGAACATTTTCGTAGTTTTCGACTTTGTAAAACTTTTTTCTTGAATATTTTAAGTTTTGGTTTTTAGTAACAGTGATCAGAGTGGTAGTTTTTGGTTTATCGGTGTTCATTCCGTGCATGTGCTACATGTGTATTATCACCGTGCTAAGGATAATACTAAGTACAAGGTGACATCCTGCACTTTTACGCTGTCCCTCGGTGGGTCAGCTGTAAGTTTACTGACGCTAAAGTCGGAGAAATGCTTTTCCGCGGTTGACAGAGCATAGATAGCCCACTGTGTAACTTTACGCTAGAAAAGAAAATCAAAAACAAACAAAAAGCAGGAACCATTAGGCTAGAAAGTGTAACGAAATATCACTTAAAGAATTATTTTTAACAGGTTCAAAACAATTTTCCATCAAGAGTAGTGCAATAAATTATCGACGCTGTTGTTTTTCTTATTACCAGAGCT